AAATAATGATAATTTAACTTATTCTTTACTGATTCTTATTCTTTTTATTTCTCCCTCTTGTCTAATGGCTCTAGCTAATGATTCCAAAACTATGTTTAATAGGAGAGGTGATAGAGGACATCCTTGTCTTGTACCAGATCTGAGAGTAAATGATTTCAATGTTTCCCCATTTGGAATTGTATGACCCATTGCATTGTCATAGATGGCTTTTATCAAATTGAAGTAGAGGCCTTCTATTCCAATTTGCTTTAGGACTTTGACCATGAATCAGTGTTGGGCTTTTTCAAAAGCCTTTTCTGCATCAATTGAGGTGATCATGTGGTTTTTAGAATTGCTCTATTGATATTGTGCATTACATTTATAGAACTTAGAATACTGAACCATCCTTGCATCCTTGGGATGAATCCTATCTGGTCATGGAGTATGACCTTCTTGATGATTTGCTGTATTCTATTTTCTAGGACTTTATTGAGGACTTTTTCATCCATGCTCATAAGGAAGATTGGCCTGTAGTTCTCTTTTTCAGTTGTGTTTTTCCCTGGTTTTGAAATCACTATAATACTTGCCTCAAGAATTGATTTTGGGAGGACTGCTTCCTTTTCAATTTCATTTAAGAGTTTGAGGAGTATAGGGATTATATCTTCTATAAATTTCTTGTAGAATTCAGCCCTGAATCCATAAGCACCTCGACATTTCTTTGCTGGCAGGCTTTTTATTACATTCTGTATTTCATTGGTGGTTATTGGGCTATTGCGTGTTGTCATATCTTCTTGATTCAGTTGTGGTAATTTGTACCTTTCTAGAAATCTGTCCATTCCATCTGAGTCTTGTATTCTGTGTGGGTAAAAATTCTCAAAGTAGTTATTGATAATCTTTTGAATTTCCTGTGAGTCTGTGGTGATTACACCCTTTCCATTCTTTATTGCTTGTATTTGAATTTTCTCTTTCCTCTTTTTGTTGAGGTTAACTAGGGGCTAATTGATTTTATTTAATCTTTCAAAGAACCAGCTTTTTGATTTGTTAATTCTTTGAACTGTTTTGTTCATCTCAACTGAATTAATTTCTCCTCTAATCTTATGATTTCTTCCCATCTTTCGGCTCTGGTTTAGGTTTGCGCTTGCTTTTCTAGATGTTGGAGGTGCAGCATTAGCGTGTTTAGTTGTTCCCATAATGTTTTCCTGATGTGTGAGTTCACAGCTTTGAATTTATCTCTTATAACTGCTTTCATCGCTTGCCATAAATTTCGATAAGTTGTGGTTGAATTTTCTTTTAATTGTAGATATTGTTGAATTTCTTGTTTAGTTTCTCCTGTGACCCATTCATTGTTGAGTAGGTTAATGTTTAATTTCCATGTGGTTACGGGTTTTTTCTGGTTTCTTTTGTCATTGATTTCCAGTTTCATTGCACTGTGGTAAGATAATATGCATGGGATAATTTCTGTTTCCTTTCATATACTTAAGCATGACCTATGGAATAGTATATGGTCTATTTTAGAAAATGACCCATGTGCAGCTGAAAAAAATGTGTGTTCAGCAATCCTTGGTTGGAACACTCTGTATATGTCCACCAAGTCCTTTTGTTCCAAACTCCAGTTCAGTTCTGCTACTTCTTTGCTAATTTTTTGTCTGGCTGACCTATCCTTTTGGGATAAGGGAGTGTTAAGTTTTCCTGTTAAGATTGAGATATTGGATATTAGATTTTTCATGTCCATTAAGATTTGTCTTATATAGTTGGGTGCTCCCATGTTTCGTGCATAGATATTTATGTTTGCTACCTCTTCCTCTTGAACTTTTCTCCTAACCAATATATAGTGTCCTTTATTTCGTTTGATCACTCTTGGTTTGAAGTTGAGACTGTCTGAGAATAGGATTGCTACCCCTGCTTTGTTCTGAGGTGCTGGGGTATGTGCTATTGTTTTCCCATCCTTTGATTTTCAGCCTATGAATTTCTTTAGGAGTTAAGTTTGTTTCTTGTGTATAGCATATTGTTGGATTTTGTTTCCTAATCCACTGTGCCAGTCTATTTCTCTTAATTGATAAATTGAGTCCATTTACATTGATGGTTATAATTGCGATGTGTTGAGTTATGATTGACATGTTATTTACCTGCTGCAGTTTAGTCCTTTTCCCCCTGTGTTTAATTATTTGCCTTATTTAGTGGATACCTTATGTTTTCATTTTTGGAGTTCTGATCATTGTGATCCCCCTCCAGAACATCTTTCAGTAATTTGTGTCGGGTTCGCTTTGTCATCATGAAATTCTTTAGTTGTTCTTTGTCATGAAAGTATTTCACTTCTCCATCAAACTTGAAAGAGAGTTTTACAGGGTATAGTAGTTTGAGTTGGAATTTGTTTTCATAGAGGACTTGAAGTATTCTGCTCCATGCTATTCTTGCCTACATGTTTTGTGAAGAGTCGTCGGCCGTAGTTCTGATGGGTTTTCATTTGAATGTGATGTGCTTCTTTTCTCCAGCAGGTTTCAGTATAGTATTATTGTGCTGGATTTCTGGGATCTTGAGTATTTTGTGCCTTGAGTATTTTGTGTGTTTTTAATTGGGTTGAATGTCAGATTGTTTCCTCATATTTGGGAAGTTCTCTGCTATTCTGCTCATATTCTTTTTATGTCATTTGTGTTGACTCCATATTTCTCATTGATACCCATTAGTTTGACATTGTTCATCTTTGCATCATCTTGTAGGTGATGGATTATTTTTTCCTATCTGTTTTTAAGAGATCCTTTCTTACTTTTTCACTAGCTGCACCAGTGTCTTCAAGATGTGAAACTTTGTCTTCACTTTCACTTAAATGGTTTTGCAGGCATGTGACTGAGATTTTAAATTCCTCTATATCTCTTTGACTCTGCTTCATGTGATCTATTGCTTTCCTGTATTGCTCATTCAATCTGTCATATTTCTAATCTCTATTTTTTATCAATGTCTTCATTAGAAGCAGTTATTAATTCTTTTACTGTGGAGTTTTTTTTCTTTTCAAAGTTTTATTGATAAACATATAGCAATGAGACAGTTTCAAATCAAATCAAAAGTACAGTTTCAACAAGTAATACACTGCATATATTCTTCTTAGTGGTTAATTGCTGTACAAGATGCGGACTTGTGATCCTATTTACAAACACCATTAGAACAAATCATTCTATTCATTAAGAGAATGCAACTATATATCTATCCCAACCACTTTGAATACACAGATACAAAATGGACATTCATAGCTATACCCCATTTTTTTTAAGTTCTGTTATTGAATATTATAGGTGTGTAAACTCAGCAAAATATTCTAAAAGAGTCCAGTAGCCCCTAATAGCATTGTTCTTCTTGTGGAGTTTTTTTTAGAAGCATTTTTTTGGGGGGGATCACTCAGGATGCCTTCATGGCAAGTCTGCTTTGGCTTGAGGATAAGGGGATCAAACCACAGCATTGCAGAGTTTTTTCCAGATTGGGTTTCTTCCACATATTTCTGTATTTGATTCTTTTCTTCAGATGCTATGAATTCAGAGATTTCTTTTTGTATTTCAGAAATTAATTCTGCTCTGAGTTCCTCTATACCTTTCTGCTGTTGTTTCTTTACTTCCAATGCCATCAATTCATACATTTCAGCTGAGCTACTGTCCGCTGCCCTTGTTCTGGGTGGGCATTGGGTTTTCCTCATATGTTTCTGTATTTGATTCTTTACTTCAGATGCTGTGAATTCAAATGTCTGAGTTCCTCTATACCTTTCTGCTGTTGTTTCCTTACTTCTGACACTGTTAATTCATTCATTTCAGCTGAGCTTGTGTCCTCTGCACTTGTTCTTGGTGGGCTCAAGGCCTGAGATTGCATTTTGCTCCTTGTCTTTGTTATTTCATGTTGCACTGATCTCTGACCTTTGGTGTAGAGCATTGGTGCAGTTATATCCTTAGCACCTACTAAAATTCACGTGCAGAGCCTTTAAGTTTGAGTTTATACAGTTGTGCCTGGTTTGAGTCTAGCTTTTGTGTTCAGGTCCTTCCTGCTGCAGCTCTTGGAAGTGAACCAGTTTTGCCCCTCTGGCACAATAGTGAACCTGTGGTGCCCCTCTGTTGTGCCCCTGGCCCAGGAGGCACAGGGTAGCACAGAAGCTCTTTCACACACTTGCTGGGCCTGGGCTGGGCTAGATCTGGAGGCCTTGTCTTCAAATCTGTTGAAATCGTTGTAAATGCTTGTTCTTTTGAAAACAGGTTAAGTTTAAACTTTTCTTCTTGCAGTCAAAGGAACTGAGGTTCTTTCCCAATTCCAACCAAAAGTTTTTTTCTCAGTGATTCTAAATTGACTCTGGTATCCAGATCTCATATCTGACTTCCATTTGTAGCACTAAATCCCAAATTAGAGGCTTAAAGATGGAGCAGTCCGTTGATGGCCTGATGTAATGTCCACACTGTTACGGAAAGCCTTGCCATTAAGTAGACAGATAGCCTGAAGAACAAAATGATTCTATATGCTGGGACCTCAACTGCTCACATGTACGTGGAGGGCACTACAGGAATCTTGTGTATATTCAATTGTGTTTAAGTGATCCCCAGGTTGTATACTTCCTCCTGCCCAGCATATCACAGGTGACCCTAGATATATTTTTAAAAAAGCATCCAAATTTCAAAGTTCTTCACTTTATTTCTCTTTTTAAAAATTTATTTATTTATTTGTGTGTGTGTGTGTGTGGCCAGCTTAGCCCACCAGGCGGTGGGGCTGGCTGTCATGTGGTGCTGGGGGATCAAACCGCGGTCCCTGTGCTTTGCTAAGCTTGTTCTAAGTAGGTGCTTTAGACCACTGAGCCATCTCACCAGCCCCATCCACTTTAGTTCTTTTAAAAGCTAAGATCGTCTAGGGAAATTGAGGTTTTTGTCTGAGTTGTTTTCTTTCTCTTTTTGTGTTTTCTTCTTCTCTTTTCTATTTACCTTACTCCTTCAAGCTGCAGAACCAATCTACATTATTGTCACTCCCAGACTCTCATGTGGCACCTACTGGAACTCTGATCAGCAGTTTCCTGGTTCTCCAAGAAGCAAGCAGAGCGGGAGATGGCACACTTTTTTGTCTTCCACTGGTTGACAGGCAAAATCCTTCACGCTACCAGTTTCTGTGAATTTCAGGTAGAAGTAGCTACGTTTCACTGCCTGGTGCACCTCAAAGCAGAATCCCAGGCAAGAGTCCTCCATGAGGTCTACGTATATGTCCTGAGCGATGGCCTCCTGTTTATTAGTATCCAGGTTGGCCAACGAAATTTTCTCCATTGTAATTTGGAAATGCCTATGCAGAGGGCACATGTCTTACTCAAGGCAGCTACCCATTGGGTCCATGGCTGGGCCTGGGCCTAGAGGTCTCTCAGGCCATGTCCTCCGCAGCAGCGGAGACATGTTTTTGGACTGCGGAAGCAGTGGTGGTAAAGGCGCGGGAGCCCACGTCTCAGCTTGTTCCCATGGGGCCGGCCGCGAGCTGGGCAAGGGTCTGCGCAACGTCGGAGTTGGGCATCGTGGCCGCAGTCTGTGTGCCTCTTCCTTTAGTTAATTCACCAACCCAGCTGAGATGGAGTTCAAAAGCCTCATCCTTACCTCCATCATGTACTATGTAAATTATTATTATTGTTTTTGGCAGAACCGGGGATTAAATTCAGGCTCTTGCGCTTGCCAGACAAGTGCTTATTCAATGGAGCTATCTCCCCAGGCCCCTGTGTAAATTATTTTCACAACTTCTTTAACAACATCACAGCAAGTCATTTCTTTCATCTGAAGCTTTTCTATTTCTGTCTTTTCAGCTTGCCGGACTTTGCCAATAGCACAACCCCAATAACCATATGAAACTCCTGAAGGGTCAATCATATAGAGTTGTGCACCATCATTCACCCTGTAAGACACAAGCATGAAACTGCAGCTGAAAGGTCTGATGACACTGTAGAGTGTGTAAGCATGTACATACATGGCCACTCAGTTTGTAAGATGTTTGAGTGGAGTGGCCATAGTTAGATCTAAAGTTGGAAGCTTCTTCTCTTGCTATGTCTGCTAAAGACAGAGCATCTGCCAGCAAACCTTCTATTGCCATCCCAGCATGCCAATCAATGTTAAAAAGTCATTTGTTTTAACACTCTTCATAAAATTTAGAAAGAACTAATTTTTTTTACCCCAAAGACGACATCATCTTTATATCTGATCCCAATAGCTATACTACTATTTTCCACAGCCTTCATAGCATATCAACTTGAAAAACTCTTCTATCAGGAGAGAATGTAGAGGCTGATAGATCATACCTAGTCCTATAGAGCTTATCTTGTCCAAACCACCAGAGTGCACTGGAAGGCCAGGTCCAAAGCCTGAAACACTAATGAAATTGAAAGGGAAGCAATACTGCCAGAATTATTCCTGGAAGAAAGTATTACCCTGAATCCAAAACTAGAGAAGGGGCCCCTAAGTCCAGTGAGTGAGTGAGAGCTTCTGAAACTCTCTCAGGACCCCCAGATCCAGCCCAGCCCAGGCCCAGCAAGAGAGTGGGAGAGCTTCCAGCTTCCCTGCACACGTGGGAACCCTCCAGACCAAAACTCAGTCACACGTGTGAGTGAGACCATCTACCACACCATTGGGACCCCTGAAAACCTCCAGAGCCCCACTTCCAAGTATGCCCAGTATTAAGAACTTCTGTGACTCTCTCGTGACCCCCAGATCCAGCCCAAGCCCAGAACCAGCTAGTGTGTAGGTGAGCTTCTGCGCTCCCCAGTGCTCCTTGGGCCAGGGGCACAACAGAGGGGCACCACAGATGCACTGTTGTGTTGGAGGGGAACAACAGGTTCACTTCCAAGGGCTGCAGCAGGAAGGAGCTGAACACAGCAGGCAGACCCAGTCAGGCACAGCTGGATGAATTAAAACTTAGTAGATCTGCACCCAAATTTCACTAGATGCTAAGGTTATAACTGCACCAAAGCTCTACAGCAAAGGTCAGAAGTCAGTGCAATACAAAATGACAAAAACAAGGAGCAAAATGCAATCTCAGTCCTCAAGCCCACCCATAACAAGTGCAGAGGACACAAGCTCAGCTGAAATGAATGAATTAACAGTGTCAGAAGTAAAGAAACAACAGCAGAAAGTTATACATGAACTCAGAGCAGAATCAATTCTTGAAATAAAAACAGAAATCTTTGAATTCATAGCATCTGAAATAAAGAATCAAATGAAGAAATATATGGGGGGAACCCAGTGTCCACCCAGAACAAGTGCAGAGGACACTACCACAGCAGCAATTTATGAATTAACAATATCACAATTAAAGAAAAAAAGCAGAAGGGTATAAAGGAACTCAGAGCAGAATTAATTTCTGAAAAAAAATCTCTGATTTCATGCAATCTACAGTAAGGAATCAAATATGGAAACATATGGAGGAAACCCAATCTGAAAAAAATTCTGCAGTAAAAGAATTAATAACTGCATCTAAAGAAGACATTGATAAAGAAATAGAGGAGATTAGATATATGATGGATTCCTTGAATGAGCAATGCAGGAAAGAAATAGATCACAAGAGTCAAAGAGATATAGAGGAATTTAAAATCTCAATCACAAGCCTGAAAAATCATTTCAGTGAAAGTGAAGACAGAGTTTTGGATCTTGAACATGCTGGTACAGCTAGTGAAAAGGTGAGAAAGGATATCTTAAAAACAACTGTAATGCAGGAAAAAATAATCCATCACCTGCAAGATGATGCAAAGATGAACAATGTGAGACAAACAGGTGTCAATGAGAACGATGTACTCAATACAAATGATATAAAAAGAATATGGGCAGAAGGAATAGCAGAAAACTTCCCAAATATGAGGAATCAATCTGATATTCAGGTAACTGAAGGATACACAATGCCAAATAACTTCAACTCAATTAAAATCACACCGAGACACAAAATACTCAAGATCCCAGAAATCCAGCACAAGAATAATATACTGAAACCTGCTAGAGAAAAGAAACAGATCCCATTAAAAGGAAAACCCATCAGAATTACAGCCAACTTCTTTTCATAAACCATGAAGGCAAGAAGAGCATGGAGCAGAGTACTTCAAGTCATCTATGAAAGAAAATATCAGCCCAGACTACTATACCCAGCAAAACTCTCTGTCAAGTTTGATGGAGAAGTAAAATACTTTCATGACAAAAACAGCTAAAGAATTTCATGGTGACAAAGCCAACCTTACACAGACAACTGAAAGATGTTCTAGAGAGGGACCACAATGATCCCAACTCCACAAATGAGAACAGAATGAACCTACTAAACAGGGCAAACAATTAAACACAGGACAAAAAGAAGTAAACAACAACAGGTAAATAAAATGTCAATCATAAGTCAAGTCATCTCAATTATTACCATCAATGTAAATGGACTCAATTTATCAATTAAGAGAAATAGACTGGCACAGTGGATTAAGAAACAAAATCCAACAGTATGCTATATACAAAAACACACTTAACTAAAAAAGACATTCATAGGCTTAAAGTTAAAGGATGGAAAACAATAGCACATGCCCCAGCACCTCAGAACAAAGGAGGGGTAGCAATACTGTTTTCAGACAGTCTCAACTTCAAATCAAGTGTGACCAAATGAGATTAAAAAAGGCCACTATATATTGGTTACCGGAAAAGTTCAAGAGGAAGAGGTAACACTCACAAATATGTGTGCACCAAACACAGGAGCACCCAACTGTATAAGACCAATCTTAATGGACACAAAAAATTTAATATCCAATACCATAATTTCAACAGGAGACCTTAACATCCTCTTATCTGAAAAAGATAGGTCAACCAGACAAAAAATTAGCAAAGAAGTAGCAGAACTGAACCAGTGCTTGGAACGAAGGGACTTGTTGGACTTATACAGAGTATTCCACCCAACCACAGCTGAATACAGTTTTTAAGGTGCACATGGGTCATTTTCTAAAACAGACCACATACAGGTTCATAGGTCATGCTTAAGTATACGCAAGAAAACAGAAATTATCCCGTGCATATTATCTTACCACAGTACAATGAAACTGGAAATAAATGACAAAAGAAACCAGAAAAAAAACCCTAAATACATGGAAATTCAACAACACCCTACTCAGCAATCAATGGGTCATAGGTGAAATTAAGCAAGAAATGCAACAATAGCTACAATTCAAAGAAAATTCAACCACAACTTATTGAAATTTATGGGATGTGACAAAAGCAGTTCTAAGAGGGAAAATCATAGCTGTGAACTCACACATCAGGAAAACAGAATGGGAACAACTAAACACCTTAATGCTGCACCTCCAACATCTAGAAAAGCAAGCGCAAACCTAGCGCAGAGCCCAAAGACTGGAAGAAATCATAAAGATTAGAGCAGAAGTTAACTCAGTTGAGATGAAGAAAACAGTTCAAAGAATTAATGAATCAAAAAGCTGGTTCTTTGAAAGATTAAATAAAATCGATAAGCTGACAGCTAATCTCAACAAAAAGAGGAAAGAAAAAATTCAAATACAAGCAATAAAGAATGAAAAGGGTGTAATCACCACAGACACAGTGGAAATTCAGAAGCTTATCAGTAGCTACCTTGTGAATCTTTATGCTCACAGAATACAAGACAGAGATGAGGGGGTCTGCCCCTTAGCTCAGTTCTTTAAGTGGTTGCTTCAACAAAGCAGTCAGGCTCAGGTTGCTGTGGTTCTATCGCCAGAACTCAAGCCACCCAAACCTGCCCTGAAAGCATTCTGAGCCAGCCATCCCCCAAAATAAAATCTTTCTGCTATTTAAAAAAAAAGACACAGAAAAAGGGACAGATTCATAGAAAGATACAAATTATCAAAACTGAATCAAGAAGATATAACAACTCTCAATAACCCAATAAGAGCCAATGAAATCAGAAATGTAATAAAAAGCCTGCCAATAAAGAAAAGTCAAGGTGCTGGTGGATTCGGGGCTGAATTCTACAAGAAATTTTTAGAAGATATAATCCCTACACTCCTCAAACTTTTCGATGAAATTGAAAAGGAAGCAGTCCTCCCAAAATCATTCCTCAAGGCAAGTATTATACTGATTCCCAAACCAGAGAAAAACACAACTGAAAAAGAGAACTACAGGCCAATCTCCCTTATGAACACAGGTGAAAAAATCCTCAATAAAATCCTAGCAAATAGAATAGAGTAAAGCATCAAGAAGGTCATACACCACGACCAGGTAGGATTCATCCCAGGGATGCAAGGATGGTTCAATATTCGAAATCTATATATGTCACATACTATATTATTAGAGCAAAATCTAAAAACCA